TTTGTTAATACATAAATATAAAAATCCACGACCACTCAACGGAATTAACAAAGATACTTTACCAGTTCATTACTATTGGAATTCGACCTCATGGATGCAGATTTCAATTTTCAAACATTGGCTTTGTAAACTTGACGAAGTTATGCGCAAATCATGCCGAAATATTCTATTGCTTGTAGATAATGCTTCCTCACATAAGATCGACGATAATACCACATTTTCAAACATTACGGTACATTTTTTACCTCCTAATTGTACGGCACATCTCCAGCCATGTGATGCTGGAATCATTTATAGTTTCAAAAGTCAATATCGAAAATATTATTGCATTGATCGAATTCAAAAGTACGATAATGCTATTGCTCAGAACCAATCTATTTCAAATATTCCTCAAACTAATATCCGTGAAGCGATCGAATTTGTTAAAATTGCATGGAACCAAGTAAATACCAAGACAATAACACATGCATGGCAAAAAACGGGTATTATACCTAATAATATAGCTGTTGAAAATGAAGATCTTGTTTTATCAACAAATACGGAGCTAATTGAACTTGTTAATCGATTTCCTATTGATCGCGAAGAAGTTAGAATGGAAGCATCCGAGTTCGTTAATTCAGAAGATTTTATTTCTATACAGGATATGCTGACAACAGAGTCTATTATTGCAACAATAGAAGAAAAAGACGTGTTAAAATCGGAAGACTCTCCAATAATTAAATCTATTTCTCATAAATTAGCTTTTGAGCATATTAATTCTTTACTTCTATATATTACTCAAGATAGTGATAGTGAGCTTCAAGTTAATACTACCTTCTTATCTAATTTAAAAAAGTTAAAAAGAACGATTGAGACTAAACAACAAAATATGTTACAGCAAACAAGTATTCTTACATTTTATCATTAATAAAGTTTATATATATATAATATTTTTTAATAATAAATCGAAATTTGTTTCCTGAGTTGACGTTGAAAAAAAAAAAAATAATAATAATAATAATAAATCGAAATTTGTGTAACTATATATATAAAATTTGATAAAACGAAAATCTCGATAAGCTGAATAAATTGTCACTTCCCATAACCTTCGGCTTATCGAGTTTCACTTGTATTAGTTTTATTACTTATAATATTTATTAATAAACTTAATATAGGTTCTTTGTCAAATAGTCATTAAAAAATTGAATCAGAATTAATACAAAGACTAATGAATAACTGTCACATTTTATATTTGACATCAATTTATTTTGATAAAATAGAATTTGTATTTCTAAATAATAGATCAAATATTGACTCAATTTCATAACTGAATCAATTTTTGACTAACAAATTATATCGATTTTTAAACAATACATATAATATTTATAAGATAATTATCAATAGATCAAAAAAATTTCAGAATAAATTATTGCATTCAAAGAATTTGAATTTAATATTATCTGCTAAAATATTCGATTTATTAATCAAATATTATAAAGCTTTATATAAAACAATGAATTTTCAAAAACTATTCATAAATAATATTAATGATTCAATAATTATTCAGAATAAAGCAAATCAATATGAAAGATATTAAATAGGAATAAAATTTTTAATTCTCTTATATTTTTATAAAATATAAAGGATTATTTATATTAATCTGATTTGTGAATTATAATGAAAATATTAACTTACAGTATATCTGAAACAAGTTCAATTTTTTTCATACATTTAGTTAATTTTTCGAATAATATTGTATACTATAAATTGGCTTTTATTTAATGGTTTAAATCAGTTAATTCAGCAAATTTGAAATTTCATTTTGGCTCAAAAAATAAAATGAATATTAAATTATAAAATATTGAATTATACTCAATTAAATGCAAATGTATAATTCCTATTTATAATATTTTTGACCAATTTATTTTATTTAGATATAAAATATCAAATCAATATAATTCTTGTAAATATTTAGCTGAAATTTCACTAAATCACAAGTATAATATTTAAAAACATTAAAATTTAACTATAATTAGGCATAAAACAATTTATATCTAAATTTAATTTTTTTAAAAATAATTTAAATTTTATTTTATTTTTTTACAATTATTATATTTAATTTATAAATATAAATATATTAAATAATTGACAAGTATTAGTAAATTAAATAAAAATAAAATATTATTTTATAATTTAATATATGCTAAATTGTTGCCAAGTAATATTATATCAAATGGTTATATATATAAATGTTTAATGAGTAGCAATATACTGAATAGCACTATTTTAATTAGTAACAATTACAATTATTGTAATTTAATTGTATTTAAAATTAAATACTTGTTTAAAATACTTTATATATATATAAATCTTTATTAAATTTAATATAATATTTAAATTTATATTTTTTTAAATATAAAATTTGTATAAAACATATATAACATATTTTCAAATATTATTTTATATTTAAAAAAATTTATCAAATTATAATAATATTTTTTATTTTAATAGCAATTAAAAATTAATAATCCATATATAACAAATAATAAAGTCTATATATAACATTAGTAATAATTTTTTTTTTTTGCAAATAGGTATTAAATATGAGATATTTATTAAACTTTAGTTTATGGTCATTACATTAATAATCTTTACATATATAATAAGTAAATTAATTGTAGCCTATTGCAAATTTTTACCTAAATATTAACTTATATTTCGTGGATATATCCATATTCAGGTTTTCACTAGGGGGTAGTATAATTTAATTGATATGGCTAGGTGAGTCGATTTTTAAATATACTGGGCCCAGAAACCAATTTGTTATTGTGGTATAGCCTATAAGTCTTTATATTAGTAATAATATTATATAATTACAATTTTTTTAATATATATTAACTTTTTTTTTGAGTAGATAGATATAGTTACTATTTAGTTTATATTTAACAATAATATTGTTTAAAATTTCTTTTCTTTACGAGTTAGATACAATATATGTAGGCAAGCTAGTATTTATTTTATTATATATTTTTGCATCTAAAAGATATTGTTTCTTTCTGAATATATGCATTATTATATATATAAAAAATTAAAAAAAATGGTGTTTATATATTTAAAAAAAATATATATTATTAATAATATATTTTTCTTATAAATTTTAATAACTAAATTAAAATATTGATTAAAATATTAATTAAAATATATAATTTTATTTGAAAACTCTATTATAATATAATCAATATTTCTTTATTTAGTAAAATTAAATGAAATAAGAACTTTATCAATAAATTTTTTAATAGTTTTAAATTTCAAATTAATTTCAAATCTTTAAACTTAAACAAATATTTTTTAATTAACTTATTTAAAATTTAATTTTTATTAATCTATTTTTATAATTATAAATACTTTTATCCAATACTACTAAGCTTTTTCAAATTTATTTCACAATTAATTTCTATTTATTCTAATTTCTATTGTCTAATCTTGAATAGGTATTTATAATTACTTGGTACTATTTGACAAGATATAATGTTTTTTTAATATTGTTAACTAATTACTATAGACAAACTAGTATTTAACTTATTGTATATACAAATAAAATATATTGTTTATTTTATAGTATATATTTTTTTATACAAATCAAATAAAGAAATAATGTTTATTTGCTATAAAAAAAATTAAACTTGAAATTCTTTGATTTAAAATAAACTATATTTTTTTGAATATTACAAAATAAATTTTAAATTATTTAAATAAGAATTTGTTTATTTATAACAAAATAATTTGTCTAAAAAATATTGCTCACTATTGTATATCACATGTATTGTTTTAATATAATATAATAATAAATATACAACAGTTAGTAATTTGAAAAATAATAATAATAATAATAATAATAATAAATATACAATATATTAAAAATTTTTGATTGATAATATAATTTAAAAATAATATATACATATTTTTTAAGCTCAATATTTATTATTTTTTATATTTCAACTATTAAAATATATATTTTTTATGTATATAAAATTTTCTGTAGTAACAGGTAAATTGTAATTAAAAACCATAATTTTTATTATTTTATTTTATTATTTTTTCATTTAATAATTTCCTGTATACGCAAATATATATTTCGTCTTATTTTTTAAATTTAAAATAAAATGCACTATCAATTTTATTATTTTATTAAAATATTATATAATAAATATTATCGATTAAATAATAATTTATTTCTATTATGTATTTAATATTTAATTAATATTGATCGATAAGGAAAATCCATCGAAGAAATGACCGAGGAAATACTCTATAATTTACTCTATATTGTGCCATAAAATTCAGAATGAAAGAAAAAACGTGATCAGGACCTTCAAATTCCCTTCCTACAAT